GGGATGCATGGTGCTGTGCTGGCACCGGGTGCACAGTCCTGGGCACGGGATGCATGGTGCTGTGCAGATGCTTGGCACAGGGTCCACAAGGTCCACGGTGCTGGGCAGGCATGGGGTGCAAGGTACTGTATAGACACAGCGGGTTGTGTGCCGGATGCATGGTACTGGATAGACACTGGTGCATGGTGCAGAGCACAGGGTGCAGGGCGCTGGGTACTGGATGCACAGTGCTCTGTAGCYGCTGGGCATTGCTGGGTACCTGGTGCATGGTGCTGTGCAGGCGCTGGGTGCAGGATGCTGGGCACTGGGTGCACAGTGCTCTGTAGCTGCTGGGCACTGGGGGCTGGTTACTGGATGCATGGTGCTGGATAGGCACTGGTGCAGGGTGCTSGGCGCAGGGTGCATGGTGCTGGGCATGGGATGCCCAGTGCTCTGTAGGTACTGGGCACTGCAGGCTGGGTCCCAGGCACATGGTGCTGTGCAGGGGGCTGGGTCTCTGTATGGGGCTCAGGGGTCCCAGCGGGGCGGACACCCATCCTGCCCCTTCCCCCCAGCACCAACTGGAGGCGGCGCTGCTGGGCCTGGGCCAGTTCCAGCACCAGCTGGAGGAGCTGCTGCAGTGGCTGTCGCGCACCTCGGAGCAGCTGCAGGGCCCGACGCTGCTGCGCCTCGACTTGCAGAGCTGCGAGATAGAGCTGGCCAAGCACAAGGTGAGGGCGGCTGCCCGCGCGCCGCGTCCRCCGCAGCGTGAGAACGCGGCTCCTCCCGCCGTGACGGCGTGGAAGGGATGAGTCGTCCGCGGGAGGGCCGCGCCGGTCCCCGTGGCCTCCCCGTGCCCGGGCATGCTCACCCGCGGCTGACGCAGGTCTGCAGGGTGCTGCCCAGTGCTGCAGGGTGCTGCGTGGTGCTACACAGCGCTGCACACTGGTGTGTGGTGCTGTGTGGTGCTGTACAGTGATGCATGCAGCTGTGCTGTGCTGCACGGGGCTGCATGGGGCTGTGGGGTGATGCACGGCACTGCACAGTGCTGCATCCTGATGCACAGCTCTGTGCAGGCCTGCACGGTGCTGTACGGTGCTGCACACTGCTGCATGGTGCTGTGTGGGGCTGCACAGTGATGCATGCAGCTGTGTGGGGCTGYATGGGGCTGTGTGGTGATGCACGGCACTGTACAGTGCTGCATCCTGATGCACACCTCTGTGCAGCCCTGCACGGTKCTGTATGGTGCTGCATGGTGCTGTGTGGTGCTACACAGCGCTGTATGGTGCTGCACACTGCTGCATGGGGCTGCACAGTGATGCATGGAGCTGTGCGGTGCTGCACGGTGCTGCATGGTGCCCTGTGGTGAGGGCTGCAGCACTGCACAGTGTTGCATACTCATGCACAGCTCTGTGCAGCCCTGCACAGTGCTGTATGGTGCTGCACAGTGCTGCATGGGGCTGTGTGGTGCTGCATAGTAATGCATGGTGCTGTGTGTGGTCATGCACAGCACTGCACAGCACTGCATACTGATGCACAGCACTGCATACCGGTACACAGCTCTGCGCATCACTGCACAGTGCTGCATGGGGCTGTGTGGTGCTGCATGGCCCTGCTCAGTGYTGCACGGTGCTGTGCATGCAGCGGTGCAGCAGGGCAGATGGGACGGGCAGCGRGAGCCGACGTGTCACAGGCAGCACCCCCGGCAGGTGCTGAAGAACGACGTGATGTCCCACGCGCGCACGGTGCAGTCGGTGAACGAGGCCGGGCAGGGCTTGCTGCTCTCCAGCCTGGGCGAGAGCGTGGAGGGGCTGCAGCGCAGCCTGCAGCAGCTCAACCAGCGCTGGGACGCGGTGCAGAGCGAGACCGAGAGCCGCCAGCTGGAGCTGGAGAACAACCTGAGCCAGGTGCAGGACATCACCCTGGAGATCACCGAGCTGCTGCAGTGGCTGGAGCAGGTGGAGCTGCAGCTCTTCTTCTCCAAGCCGGCCTGGGGCCACCCGGACACCACCAAAGAGGAGCTGGCCGCACACCTGGTGAGCRCCATGCAGCGCCGTGCAGCCTGTCGCGGCGGTGCCCGCACCCCTGGTGCAGCCGTGACGCTGCCCGTGCCGCTCGCAGGAGCTGTGCAAGGAGCTCGAGGCCAAGCAGCACACGTACACCGGGGCGCGCGAGCGGCTGCAGCGGCTGCTGGCCGCCTGCCGCGCCGCCCGGCCCTGCAGCACCGAGCACAGCCTGCGCATCCTGGAGCAGAAGTGGGAGAGCGTCTACGCCGAGGCGCAGGAGAGGAAGGTTGCACGGGGGGGACCGGGGCRGCGGCAGCACCGGGCGGTGCCGTCAGCGCCCGCCTGTGCCCGCAGGAGCGCCTGGCCGAGGGGCTGACGGCCGCCACYGAGTTCCACGGCGCCGTGCAGGAGCTGCTGCGCTGGGCGGGCCGCGCCGAGGAGGCGCTCGCCTGCCCCGYGCCCCCCAGCTGCCTGCTGGACACCGTCACCGCGCAGATCCAGGAGCACAAGGTGGGGCGGGACACGCGCCGCTCCCCGCTGCCGCCCTGCGCGCAGCCCCGCGGCCTGCAGCGCGTCGGCTGCGGCCGGGCGCTAGTCGTGCGTCTGCGCCGGCTCTCTGCTCCGCGTCCCGGGGTGTCTCTGTGCATCCACACCGGGTTTCTGTCCTGGAATGTCCCTGTGCATCCACATCTGGTTTCTGTCCTGGAATATCCCTGTGCATCCACATCAGGCTTCTGTCCTAGGATGTCTCTCTGCATCCACACTGGGTCTCTGCTCCATGTTCCAGGATGTCTCTGTGCATCCACACTGAGTTTCTGTCCTGGAATATCCCTGTGCATCCGCACCTGGTGTCTGTCCTGGGGTGTCTCTGTGCATCCACACTGGGTCTCTCTTCCGTGTCCCAGGATGTCTCTGCATGTGCACTGAGTTTCTGCTCTGGGACGTCTCTCTGCATCCGCACTGGGTCTCTACTCCGTGTCCCGGGGTGTCTCTGTGCATCCACACTGGGTCTCTGCTCCATGTTCCAGGATGTCTCTGTGCATCCACACCAGGTCTCTCTGCTGGGAAGTCTCTTCATCTGGGTGTGCATCCAGGTTTCATCTGCACTGGATCTCCACTCTGTGTCCCGAGATGTCTCTGTGCATCTGCACCGGGTTTCTTTCTCTGTGCATCCACACTGGGTCTCTGCTCTGTGATCCAGAATGTCTCTGTGGATCCACACTGCGTCTCTGCTCCGTGTCCCAGGATGTCTCTGCATCTGCACTAGGTTTCTGTCCTGGGATGTCTCTGTGCATYCGCACTGAGATTCTGTCCTGGAAYRCCTCTGCATCCACATCAGATTTCTGTCCTGGGATGTCTCTGTGCATCTGCACTGGGTCTCTCTCCTGGGATATCTCTGTGCATCTGCACCAGCTCTCTGCTCCGTGTCCTGGGATATCTTTGTGTATCTGCGCCGGGTCTCTGCTCCATGTCCCAGGGGGGTCTCTGTGCATCCACACCAGGTTTCTGCTCCATGTCCCAGGATGTCTCTGTGCATCCGTACTGGGTCTCTCTCCTGGGATCTCTCTCTGCATCCACACCAGCTCTCTGCTCTGTGTCCTGAGATGTCTCTGTGCATCCGCACCAGGTCTCTGTCCTGGCAAGTCTCTGTGCATCCACACTGGGTTTCTTTCCTGCGATGTCTCTGCCTGGAATGTCTCTGTGCATTCGCACCAGGTTTCTGCTCTGTGTCCTGGGATATCTGTGTGGATCCACACTGGGTTTCTGCTCCATGTCCTGGGATGTCTCTGTGCATCCACACCAGGTCTCCACTCCGTGTCCCTGGATATCCCTGTGTATCCACACCGGGTCTCCACTCCATGTCCCTGGGCATCCCTATGTATCCGCACCGGGTCTCCACTCCATGTCCCTGGATATCCCTGGGTATCCTCACCGGGTCTCCGCTCCATGTTTCTGGCCCTGCTCTGCTCCCTGCATCCTCGCCTGTCCCCAGCCCTGGGCACCCCGGCACGTTCCCTCTCCCGCAGGCGCTGGTGAAGGAGGCGCAGGCGCACAGCGAGCAGCTCGGCGGCCTCGAGGCCATCGCCTGCCGCCTCAAGGACTTCAGCAGGAAGCAGGATGGCGCCGTGATCCAGAACCTGGTGCTGACGGCGCGGGAGCGGCTGGCCAAGGTGCTGCAGCGCGCTGCGGAGCGCGGCGCCGCGCTGGAGGAGGCCCGCAAGCGCACCAAGCAGGTACGGCCGGCTGCACCGGACCGGTACCGGAGCGCGGGCCGAGCTTCCCCGGCTCACGGTGCATCCTGCCGCTGCGGTGAGCGGGCCCCAGTGCTGCAGCGCATGCAGCGCCCTGGCCCATGCGGCCGCCCTGTTTGCCGCATGGGCTGCGGTGCATGGTGGCTGCCCCCCTCTCAGTTCAGCGAGTCCCGGCGGCTGCTGCTCGACTGGATGGAGGAGGTGGAGCAGAGCCTGGAGCTGCCCCCGGACGCGGCCGGCAGCCAGGAGGAGATCAAGCAGCAGCTGGCCGAGCACAAGGTGGGCCGCGCGTGGGCGCCGCGGCCCGCGGAGCCGCGCGCCCGCCGCCCTGACCCGCCGCCCGCAGGCCTTCCAGCGGGTGCTGCGCTCCAAGCGCCCCGTGTACGAGGCGACGCTGCGCAGCGGGCGGGCGCTGCGGGAGCGGGCGCAGCTGCCCGAGGACCTGCAGCCGCTCGAGGAGCTGCTGGGGGAGCTGCGGGAGCGCTGGGACGCCCTGTGCGGCCGGGCTGCCGAGAGGTGAGGCGGCTCCGCGGCATCGTGCGCTGCTGCCCATTGGGAATGCGCCCGCGTTGTGCCCGGGAATTGCCTGCGAATGCACCCAGGTTATCCCTGGGAATTGCTGGTGAATGTGCCCATGTTGTGCCCGGGAATTGCCCATGAATACACCTGGCTTATCCCTGGGAATTGCCTGCGAATGCACCTGGGTTATCCCTGGGAATTGCCCACAAATGCGCCCACATTGTACCCAGGAATTGCCCGCGAATGCACCCGGGTTATCCCTGGGAATTGTCCGTGAATGCGCCCGCATTGTGCCYGGGAATTGCCTGCGAATGCACCCAGGTTATCCCTGGGAAATGCCYGCAAATGCGCCCGCGTTGTCCCTGGGAATTGCCTGCTAATGCGCCCGGCTTATCCCTGGGAATTGTCTGCGAATGCACCCACGTTGTCCCCGGGAATTGCCCACGAATGCACCCGGGTTATCCCTAGGAATTGCCTGCAAATGCACCCAGGTTATCCCTGGGAAATRCCCGCGAATGCGCCCACGTTGTCCCCGGGAATTGCCTGCTAATGCGCCTGGGTTATCCCTGGGAATTGTCTGCGAATGCACCCAGGTTATTCCTGGGAAATGCCCGCAAATGCGCSCATGTTGTGCCTGGGAATTGCCCGCGCGCCCTTGCCCTGCAGGCAGCACAAGCTGGAGGAGAGCCTGCTCTTCTCGGGCAAGTTCACGGACGCGCTGCAGGCCCTCATGGACTGGCTGTACCGCGCTGAGCCGCAGCTCAGCGAGGACGTGCCCGTCGGAGGGGACCGGGACCTGGTCAGCGACCTCATGGACAAGCACAAGGTGGGCATCACGGCGCCGGAGGCTCCTGCACGTCCTGTGTCCTGGTGCAGGATGGGCGCTACGTGCCCTTGTGCCAGCACGCGCAGCAGTGCCACCGCAGACCCTTCCTGCACCCCACGACTGGAGTGGTGTAGGGCCATGACCACCCCAGGGAGCAGCCTTGGGGARCCCCCGGTGCCCCTTCATCCATTCCCGCCGTCCCTGCAGGTCTTCCAGAAGGAGCTGGGCAAGCGCGCCGGCTGCATCAAGATGCTGAAGCGCTCGGTGCGCGAGCTGACGCACGGCAGCAGCAGCATGGACTCGCAGTGGCTGCAGCGGCAGGTGGAGGAGCTGGGCGCCCGCTGGGACCTGGTCTGCAAGCTCTCGGTCTCCAAGCAGGGCCGGCTCGAGGCCTCGCTGCGGCAGGTGCGGCGCGGGCGGCCGCGTGTTGCAACGGCAGCGGGTGCGCTGCGGGCTGCAGGCTGCGGCCGGCACTGCAGGGCGCACAGGGCCGTGTTGCAAGGCGCAGCGGGTGGCCGGTTGCTGCACGCCGGTGCATCCGCGTGCTCCGCATCCTGAGCGGGTCCCGCTGCCCCGCGGCAGGCCGAGGAGTTCCACAGCCTCGTGCACACCTTCCTGGGGCGCCTGGCCGAGGCGGAGACYACCCTCAAGTACGGCGTCTTCCCCGAGGAGGAGGCCGCCGTGCAGGAGTGCCAGCACCAGCTGCAGGTCGGTGCCCATGCCTGGCCTCGCACCGGGCTGTGCCACAGCCCTGGGCAGGAGTGAGCCCGCACCGCAGCCTGTGCGGGGCCATGGGGTGCATGGGGTCGTGGGGTGCATGGGGCTGCAGCAGGCACTGCATCGTGGTGTGCAGAGCATTGCAATATGTGTGGCGGTGTGGTGCGCACGGTGTCTCGGTGTGCACGGCATCATGGTGTGCACAATGTCTCAGTGTGTGTGGTGCCATGGTGTGCATGGCGTCACAGCATGGTGTCACGGTGTACATGGTGTGATGGTGTGCGTGGTGTCTCCGTGTACACAGTGTCTCGTTGTGCATGGTGTCCGCATGGTGTCACRGTGTGCACAGTGTGACGGTGTGCACGGTGTCTCAGTGTGCGTGGTGTCATGGTGTGCATGGCATCACAGTGTGCATGGTGTCTCAGTGTACATGATGTCACTCTGTGCACAGCATGACGGTGTGCATGGCATCACAGTGTGCATGGTGTCAGTGTGTGTGATGTCACGCTGCGTGCAGCGTGACGGTGTGTATGGCATCACGGTGTGCATGGGGTGACAGCGTGGCATCACGGTATGCACAGTGTGATGGTGTGCATGGCGTCATGGTGTGCACAGTGTCTCAGTGTGCACAGCATCAAGATGTGCATGGTGTCAGTGTGTATGATGTCACACTGTGCACAGCATGATGGTATGCATGGCATCACGGTGTGCACAGTATCTCAGTGAGCATGGCATCACGGTGTGCATGGGTGACAGCGTGGTGTCACGGTGTGCACAGCGTGATGGTGTGCATGGCGTCACGGTGTGCATGGTGTCACAGCATAATGTGTTGGTGTGCATGGCGTCATGGTGTGCATGGTATGTCAGTGTACATGATGTCACGCTGTGCACGGTGTGACGGTGTGTATGGCATCACGGTGTGCATGGGGTGACAGCGTGGTGTCACGGTGTGCACAGCGTGATGGCGTGCATGGAGTCGTGGTGTGCACGGCGTCACGGTGTGCACGGCATCACAGCATGCATGGTGTTGCGGTGTACCCGGTGTCACAGCGTGCACAGCACCATGGTGTGCACAGCTCCGTAGGAACCCCYTGTCCCCCACACCAAGGCACCCTCGTCACCCCGCTCTCCCTTAGCCCCTGTGCTGCTGTCCTGGCCCGCGTTGTGCAGCCGGTCCCRCCGCGGGGCTCCCCCGCCGAGTGGGGCTGCCCCATGGGCCCCCCGGCAGGCGCGGGGGCCGCAGGGCTGTGACCCCCGCTCCAAACCCGGCGCCCGCAGGAGCTGCAGCAGTCGCTGCAGTGCCAGCAGCTGGAGCTGGAGTGCATCAGCTCGCTGGGCGAGGAGATCCTGGCCGCCTGCCACCCCGACGCCGTCGTCACCATCAAGTCCTGGGTCACCGTGGCCAAGAGCCGCTTCCAGGAGGTGGGCTCCCGTTCTGGTGCTCCCATTCCACGCTCCCATCCCGGTGCCTTCCCGGAACGGAGGTCTGTCCTCTTGTGCCCTCCCTGTCCCCGCCGCTGCCACCCAAACGGTGTCTCTGGTGCAGCAGCCCCTGGTGTCCCCTCCTGCTCAGCTGGYGGCTCCTTCCCTGTTCCCGGGGCGCAGGAGGGCGGTATCCCCGGCGGGGAGCGCACAGGGACTCCCGCAGCTCCGCGGCCACATTCCTGGCTCTCCCAGGGCAGCCGCGCAGCATTCCCGGCTCTGCCCAAAYGGGTCCAACGGGTCCCGGCCGATCCCTTGTCTGCACAAAGCAATCGCTGTGCAGCGCATCGGGTGTCTAACCGGCCCTGGGATCTCTGGAGCGGCACGGAGCCACCGGAGCTGCGTCCAGCGCCGCGTGTCCGCAATGCGTCTGCAGCCCTGCGGTGCTGGGACCGTCACGTCCTCGTTGGTGTCCCACGTGTGTCCCTGTGCCCGGCGGGGTCCGCGTTCCCACCCTGTGCACGGCCGTGTGCCCAGCGCTGTCCCGTGCCGTCCCCTGCAGGTGCTGAGCTGGGCGCAGCAGCAGGGCGAGCGGCTGCAGGCGCAGGGCGCCAGCCTGGCCGCCGAGCGCCAGGAGCTCACCCAGCTCCTCGACTGGATCACGGCGGCCGAGGAGGCGCTGGGCCTGCGGGAGCAGGAGCCGCTGCCCGAGGACGCCGAGCAGCTGGAGGAGCTGCAGGCCCAGCACGCGGTACGGGCGCGCGGGGCACCGCGGCGGGCTCGATCCGCGCCGTGCGCCCTAGGGCGCTCAGCGCGGGCTCCGGCGCAGGTCTTCATGGAGGAGCTGAACCGCAAGCAGCCCGACGTGGAGCAGGTCACCAAGAGCGGCAAGCGCAAGCTGCCCGCCGCGCTGGCCCCGCCGGCGCCCCGCCGCCTGGCCGCACGTAAGGGCCCCGCTCCCGC